GATAGACTGTGATCAAATCCCTAGTGTAAGAAGCACACCTTGGAAATGGCAGAAAAATAAGAAATCTTAGTGTTAAATTTGAAATTCAACAATGATAAACTATGATGTCCCTGTGTTTGGTCATTTCAAAAGGTGTATATTACAGCTATTAAAAATGATTAACGAAGACAATTTAGGTGACACACATAAACTTAGCACTTCACAAAGTGGAAAGTCTTCTTTCAGGGAACTGCAAAATTGGGTGGAAGGCAGTAAGTTTTTGTAGGATAAAGAATAAAAAACAGGAAGGAGAAAAACAGAAAATATCTGACTGACTGGAATCACATAGTCAACTTTGTTTGGAGTGAAAAGGAACAAGAAAGTAATTTAGAGACCCACAGTTGGCCTGGTATTAGTGATTGGACAACTGGATATACTGCATTTCTGGTCAAGCAAAGCGTTTACAGGGACATGAAAGTTTTGGTTTGCTTACATGGCACCCTGGGAAAAGAGTGACTTCATCTTAGGCCTAGGAAGTTATTTCAACAGCTTCCCACTTTTGATCATCCTCTTGACCAGTCAAAAGATTTGATCAAACATATTGGTCTTAGTATGCCTTTCAGATACCATTGTTTCTCTGAATCTCAGTGCAGTATTCAAAACAGATGATGTTAGCCTCCAGTTTTAGTTATGTTCTATTCTCCTTTGTTGGACAGGATCATTTCCTGACTTATTTGATTCTAGCTGGTTTAAGTCTTGGGGACCTTGGCTCAGGAGAGCTCTCCAAACCATGGGCATTGTTTCATTGCTAATAATGATTACTGTCTCCTTAATATGCTGCATTCTCTCAGAAGTTATAAATGCACGTAGGAAGACACTGACGAGCTGACGGATGGTCTCTCTTAGGGTGGAGCAACAAAGCATCTTATCAAGTGAGAGATAAATCCTTTCAAAATTTCCAGAGACCCTCTGGGAAATCTCAAAGTTAGTCTGAGTTCAAAAAGACTGCCTTTAGAATTTGATTTTGAGAAAATGTCAAAAGGTTTGAACATCTGATTAAATAGAATCATAGATCATTATGAAATAATACTTAATTATCTTTTAGCCAAAGTAACAGTAGTAGATTTTAAAGGCAAATACAGGTTACATTGCTGTGTACAAAACTTAACTCTTTTAATATTGAGAAGACTGGGTTTTTCTAAGTAATCAAAGACCTGAAAACAACAACTGTGAAGCACAGTGAATTATTTTAGCAAGACAAAACTCAAAATGTTTGCTTTCCAGGTAGATTACCCAAAACGTTAAAAAACAAAAACAAAAAAACCTTTCACAATCTATTATCAAGAGCAGATCAATAGGTCAAGTAAACTTTGTCCTTTCATCAGAGAAAAAGCCAAATTCTAACTTTACACCAGTGTACTTTCATAATAAAATTTTCTTAATTAAATAAATTTATTCTAATCTTGGCCAGCTTGACCACACATAAAATTCCTTTCCCAGGATTCCTTTTCTACAAACCTTCTACAACAATTTTATGTCCATTCCGATTTTGTCAGATGTTTTTCCCTTCTTTTCATTCTGAAACAATCAGGTATTTCACTTTAAGACAAAATTACTCTTTTTCCCTTACAAAAACACCTCTTCATACCTAACACCTTTTCTTGCCAAAGACATATGTTATTTTCCTTGCATAAAGATGTCTCCTTTATTACTTCTAGTAGTTTTAATTACATACATTAATTAAATTCTTAACCTTAGAAACCTTAATTCCTAGTAAAAACTAAGAAGTAGGTTGTGGACTGTCTGTTACACTAGCATTAGGTAGAGTGGCAAATTTATAAATACATTCCATAATTCAATTCCTGGTAGTATGCTGTTCCTCACAGTAAATTTTTCAATATGGCACAAAGCACATTTACAAATAGAACCAAATAGCTTTAGTTCATCTATAAAAAAGTCCAAATGGATAAACCTATGGTCAGTAATTGCTGTTTCAGTATCTTATTCAGACATGATTTAGATATTTAATAAATATCTATCATTTAACTTATCTCATTATAACTTTGTTTCAAGCTACCGAAAAGATTTTGGAAACTATTTTTAAGTAGACATACCATAAAGTATAATTATTATTGAAAAGTTCATTTATAAATATTTACCTTGCTTACATCTATTTAATTCACTTGCTCTTAACAATTATGTTTAGGCTAACTATAAAAATTCCATGAGACATTAAACAGCTAACCATTATCTTAAATTATCTTTCTTGCTGATAAATTTTGTTACAGAGATATCATGAGCTTCTCTGTTTGGTAACCCTAGGCAAAATGAAAGTATTATACTTGATGATAACTCTAAAGACAATGAAACCAACAAACTTAAACTAGCTTTTATTTACCAAAGGTTATCCTAGATCACATGAACTTGAAAAACATTACAGTTAGTTCCTGTATTTCTGAGAGCATATTTTGATTTATATAAACGTTTAATTTTTCTTAATTCAAGTAAATAGAGCTCTATATAAATTAATTTGTAATACCATTGCAGGTAGGAAAAAATCACACATTTGTAACATATATATAGACATACATAAACATACAGACTCAAAGATCTTACAACTTTTGTTTTAAAATTTTAGCCATGAGACAGATGCAGTAACACAAAACTCACAAGTTTATGAAAGAAAAATACTGTTTCTGGCAGATGAAATAAGTTAAGGTTACTTGCTTAGATGGTTAAAACTTTTACTAGTATTTGTGAAGTAGACTTGTAAGATTTTTCTTTTGCCTAGTTACCAAATAGCCTTTCCCTTTTTTTTTTCTCCTTTTTTTCCCTTCTGATAAGAATTACCTCCATAAAGCTTGTGTTTCAAAGAGACCTGAGTTCCTAGAGAAGACTGGGTAGAATATTTACACCTCAAAGGCACAAAGATGTATGCAAGTTCCTCCTAAATCCAGAATTTTTATAATGCCTATAGTCCTTTTGAGATGAACAGGGGAGGTCTGGGGATTGGTTAAAAAGGATAGGTAGGCTTTTTCTGTTCTTGTAAAAACTCAATTTGTAAGACAAATTGGACAAGTTGTCCTCAATTTATAGGACAGTTGTTTCTAATTCCTCAAAGAATTGGACTGTAACCGGAAATGATATTAAGGTGCTGACCCACCCATCCTACTAGATTATCTTCAATTAAGCTAGAAATTTTTTAAGTTCCTATGTTCTATATTTAAAGCTATTTGTTTTTAGAATGTTATTATTTCCCTCTGGGTACAAAGTTTCATTTTGCTTAGGGGAGAAGGCCTTTAAAGAAGTTTCTATCAGGCTCTGAATATCAGCTTTCAATTTGGCTAACGTTTGACCATAGAGTCACTCTAAAAAAAAAAAAAAAACTCATTCAAATATCTTGTCAGGCTTCGGTTGGTATAAATAATAAATATTCTTGGCAGTATCAAATGACCTCATGGACTAAAGAGGCATCACCAAAGAGGGTACAAAGATAATATTCTCCCAAGATTCAAAGGCACTCCCAAAAGTAGCGAAAATAAAGTGCTGACAATTCTCGGACAGCTGACCACAGCTGGTAGGACCCTAGCCACAAATGGAGTGCAACTCACATTTTTGTCCAGCCAAATCTTTGAGCCCCCAACTTGACAGTTGAGCTGCCTACATAATGCAAGAGCTGACAGTCTGCATGCCCCAGGCAGGGAAAAAGCCAAGCCAAGTTACCAGGACACAAAAAGAGACAAACAAGAAGGCAACAGCTGTTCCTGAGAGAGAAAGGATCGGCAACTAACAGGCACCCCCTAAAAAATTCACAAGAGTCTAGATTTATAAAAGAAGGGACATCTTGAAGTTTACCTTCCTTTTTCAACCAGGCACTGTAGAGATCCCAGAAAGCTGACTCTGGGTTAAATTTTGTTTCTAGTTTTGCAGTTTTTTCAGCATGGAAAGGCAATTCAGATAGAAGATTAGGAGCATGTGAGTCCTCGGGTAAAGGAAGATAGAGGAGAGTAGGAGTCACATAGTCTTACAGTCTTTCGTTTTAGGTATCTCTAGTGTCTTTAAGTTTTCATAAGCCTTTTGCAATAAATATTTCAATGAAGTTATTTTGGAATCTTCTAAGTAAAATAGGTATCCCATTCTGTTTGTTGATTTGGGAACCCTTGCTTTCAAATGCACTTCTTAAATGAACGACCTTGTCTAACTGAAATGTTTTCCATAATGGCCATTGTCATTCTAGGCTGTCCTAGTAAGACTTTACCATTTTTATAAATATTACAGCTTCCGGGACTACAGTACTTAGACATAAAATAAGCAGCTGTGCCAGAAGGTGCTGCACTCAATCCTTTGAAACTTGAGAGTCCCATCTTTTTAGCTAAGCCTTGAGTCTCTTGGAGCCAAATTAATACCTAAGAGGGATGTGCCACTAAATTGAGGATTTTGGTGGTGTTTTCCAGTGTACCTCACTGCATGGAAATTTTCTTGAGGTTGATAAGTGACCTAATGTCTAACCCACTCTGTGACCAACTTAAGCAAAAGAGTAAAAGCTTTTAATTGCTTGACCCATGCCCACCAACTTTGCAGCTTTGATTTCTGAGATTCCCACTAGCAATAGATCTATTCATCCTTTCACAAGATGATTTCTTTAGAATGGCAGATGCCCTGATGACTTATAATAGTCTGACTTAACGCCTACTTCGATTTTGATTTTGATGGTCAAAAAAGTCCCAATTTCTTGTCTTCATTTATTTTCCCAAGTCCCCCAGCAGTTTATGCTATGGACTTACCTTGAGGCTTTGTGAGTCCCTTAACAACTGCCACCTGTTATAGACTTCCAATACAACTACTCCAGACCTTTCTGGGACCCCAGGACCCTTCTGGGAATTTTAATAAACCGTGGGACCTTTCCAGAACCCCAGAATCTTTCTGGGAAAAATATATATTTATAAATATTTTTAATAAATTTTTTTTGGATCAGAGAACTGCATGCAAGGGAGCAGAGCTCAAATCCGAGTGTGACTTACCCATGGGCTTAGTAATGATGACAGGAACAGTAAATTCAAACAGCCTCTGCATCTTGTCCCATAGGTCATTAGCTGCCAGTTTCAGATTTCATTCCTCTTTGCCAAAAACTGTTAAAAAATGTATTAAATAAAACAATTTAGGTGATGCAAACAAATTTTATTTAACACTTCATGAAGTCGACGATCTTAGAGAACTGCAAAACTGAGCAGAAGGCAAGAAACTTTCAAAGGGACAAAAATAAAGAACAAAGAAGAGAAAAATAGAAAACATCTGATTGGCTGGGGCCACACAGTCAACCCTATTTGAGATGAAAAGGAACAAGGAAGTAAGTATAGAGCCCAGAGTTGCTTTGAGTGTTTGGGGGTTGGCTGACTACAAGTTTACTGCATTTCTGGTCAAGCAAAGCATTTACAGGGACATGAAAGTTTTCTAAGTGGTGGTTTGCCATGTAAGGTAATGAAAAAATAACAATCTAAACAGATGATGGTTTCGGCTGCAGCAATACCATCCACTGGATGCATTCTATTTCAAAGTAATTCAATTTAGTAGATGTTTACTGAGCCTGCATTGTATGCAAGGCACACACTCCAGTGAAAGAATTCATTTTGAATCACAATACTTGAGACAAAATATCACTTAATCTAACCCTTTATTTACAGATAAGGAAACAGAAACAAGTGAATTTAGTGATGTTTTGCAAGAGATCAGCCTTATTTACTAAAATTTGGTGGCAACACCAAAAAGAAAACTAGGCCAAGTGTTCTCATCACTATGCAAGCCTGCCAATATTTTTCACCCTTTCTGGGAAACCTTCCCTGACTGTTCATGTAAATCTGGTCATTTATCCTTTGTGCCACAACTGGGCCAAGTATATAGATCTATCATTGTAATTAATCATAGTATTACAATTATTTACATCCATTCCCATTTATCTGCTGCAGAAATTAAGAGTATGAGCACTGAAACTCCAATCCCAACTACTGACAAGCTGTATATTACCTGGAGGAAGTATCCTTTCCTCTCCACACTTCAGTTTCCCTAAGTGCAACAGTAGGGGAATATTTGTGCTCAACTCAGAGAGCTATTAATGATATTTAAATGAGAAAATCCATATAAAGCACAGTGCTTGTCACACAGTAAGTGCTAAAACAAATAATTAGCTGTTGTTATTTTTATTATATTTATTAGTATTTTTAAAAAGCATTCACTGAGTGCCAACAATATTTCTAGCAACAGAGGTACTTTGGTTGTTCAATAAACAAAAAAATTTATTGAGTACCTAATATATCCCAAGTGCTATTTCCTAGCACTGGACTTTCAAATTTTCAAATTTTGTAAAATTACAAAAATTAGTAAAATACAGTCATCGGTATGATAATTATAATTGAAACTGATTCAAGTCATAATGGTAACACAAATGAAAGAGTGGCTAATGCAGCTAGGGACGCAGTAGAAGGTGAAAACGAGCTTCACAGGGAAGGAGAAATTTACTGTAATACCTCACCTTTCTTCTTCATTTCTTTTTATTGTGCCAGGGAAAACTAGTATTTTCCCTATACCTCTGTAAAGGCTGGAGAGAAATCTGAGGCAAAGAAAAGTCACTTGGGCACAGCAGTACATGCTATCAGCTAATGTATTCAAGTTTGGTAACAAAATACAGAGCAAGATGGGGCAAATTCAATTATTAACATAAGGTCAGGAATATTGTTTATATGGAAAAAAAGCCTAAGTCAGTAAACAAAAGAACATAAATTATATAGATGTGAGAGAATAATTTTCCTTATTTACAGGAGGGAATGAAATAAAACCCACTGTAAAGGCCCACCATTTTCCTTCCCTCTGCACATACATACTTCCATCTACAGATCAGAGAGCTTTCTTCTCTTATGTCCCAAATACTCCATCTCCCAGAGCCATTAGACAGTGCTACCATAAGTATATCCTCCCTCAGCCATCTGAGTTACATTACTATAAAACATAACTCCTATTATTCACTAAAATTTTGTTACATCTGTATGTTCTTAACATCGCCAAAGTATAATTATGGCACTGAAAACAATAGTGGAAGTTATTCAAAATAACTATATGACAATATTAACATCAAACTAATCATCAATGATCACATCCAAACGTAAGTCACACAGAATTTTTATCCAAGATACTTGAACCTTGAACACTGGAAGAAAAAATCAGTGGCAGATTTTATATGTGTACCTGCTCAGTTGAAGGTGACAAAATGCAATTAACTCCTTTTTATAGACCAGTGTATTATTCCCATGATCATTACTTAGCTAAGCTACTTAAGGATAACTGTCCTTTAGAGGAAGGACTCTCTGATTCTCATTAACTAGATTTCTGACCCATAGAGGAGTGTTAGCATTTATTTTCAGGTGCTTTAACTTTTTTTCAATTAAGCACTTCATCAAAAATTTTAAGTAGCAGTGTGATTTAATATTGTTTTGTCAAAGGTCCTTATTTAATAAATCTAACCAGACAATTGGCTTAAGTCCAAAAACTAAAGGTCAAACTTCTTGACGTAACTGTTCTTGAAAATTTTATAAAGACTGTAAGCTGAAATACTCTCTAAAGTAGTTTGCTTTGAAAGAAGTTTCACTTTGAAACACAGAAAACCAAAATAACCAATAATCATTTTAGTCTGAGAGATAAGCAAATTAAAAAAAAACAGTGGAAGTCATATATGCATGTCATAGAGATGGTTAATAATCCAATGTTAAGGAGAACCATGATACAATACACATCAATTATCCTAAATAAAGAGTACTGTATTTGAGATAATCAAGTGGGTTAATAAGGAATGACTTGCATTCACATACTCTGCTCCTTCAGAGAGAGTGTAACGATTTCAGTTTTGCTGAAACCCTCAATAAAGTGGCTTTAGGATTTATTAGCACAGTATCTTCAAAATAAAAAACACAGATTTGAAGCATGTTTCGTATTTTTCCTAGAACTTAAAAGAACTGAATAAACTAAAATTCTGAATTTTTGTAGCTCTTCCATATTTACCTTAAAATTTATCATCATTTGTAAACTTCAAATGTTATTACTTCAGGCAACTGAGTCCCCACACTCAGACCAAAGGAAAAGAATGTATGGTGGGGAAAGCATGAGGAGGAAAATGGTCTCTCGTGTACGCTCTTTAGAAATGAGAATGCTATGGTGCGAATTACTGCATTTTGCCTGTTTCCGCAGGTTTCCAGGTCTTAAGTAAGGAAGCTGCCAATAAATCCCTGGCAAAGCAGGAAGAAAAAGGTCAGAGGCACATTTGCAAAAGCCCAGAGGTGAGCAAGGGAGTGCCCTGTTCATGGACTGCCATGCTGTTCAGAATGCAGGAAGCGTCTGTTGAAACGAGGGCAGCAACCAGAGGTAAGGCTGAGAAGCCATGTGCATAAACAGCATCCTATGTTGCCTAAGGGGGTTGGACTTTATAACAAAGCAATTGGGAGCTATTTAAGAGGTTTCATTAGGGGAATAATACTATCAGCTCTGTGCTCTAGAAAGACCCCTCAGGCTGCAGTGCAGACAACAAGGTAGAAGGAGCAATACTGGAGGAAGAAAGACCAATTGGGAGGCAATCGCAGTAATCTAGGGAAAGATGAAGTTGTTATGAACAAAGTTTATGATAGGATGGAGAGCAGCAGCTGGCTGTAAGAGATATTAGGGAGGTTGAAGCTGCCAGACTCTGTGATTGATTGGGCAACAATGAGGTTGAAGCACTAGAATGGCATGCAAGTTTCTCCCTCAGGCAACAGAATAAATAATGGTGCCTGAGTTTCCTTTGAAACATCCAGGGGTGCTATCCACTAAGCAGAGTGATATACAGGTCGAGAAATCATCAGAACGACCCAGGCTGCAGATAAACACCCCTGCAGAAGATGCACTTCTTCTACAATTCTATAGCAAGCTGCTTCTATTTCTATCGTCGTATTAATCACATAATTGAAATTAAACGTTTACTCTCTGTCTACTCTACTATGCTGTCCATTCACTAAGACTGGGGATTATCCATATTCATCTTTTTATCTCTAGTGCTCAACAAGCAATTACAGAATATTTACCAGGCACTGTTTCTATACGCACACAATTTTTTAATCCTCACAACAACCCTAAAAGGTAGCAGTCATTTTATCCCCATACTGTGGATAAGGAAACTGAGGCTGAGTAAGTAAATAAGGTTACTGAAGTCTTGCTGCTAGTAAAACAGACAGTGAACACAGATTGTAGGCTCTTAGTATCTGTTTATATAAATAAACTGACCTAAGAGCTGTATAGAAAATATGTTACCTAAAGACATGAAGAGGGGATAGGGAGCACTGTCAGTGCTCAAAAGTCCCTGAAAGAGAAGAAAGGAGGTGATGGGGAAAGATGTTGGGTAAAACAGACACTCTAATGGTCTCTAATGTGACATCAGTCAGGACAGCTAGGTTGCTTGGGGTGACTCACTTGGCCCACTTAGCTACTACCTACAGGTTAAAGGAAACAAGTACTAGTTAGAGCTTCTCCACTCATGCCAGTGGGTAAGAGAGGTTTTGCCAACTTTACCTATAGCAACCAGAGCGCTGTCCAGCACTCCCTGTTATTATTGGGAAGCTGTGATTCACTTGCCTACGTGTGTCCACTCCTTCCCCATCTTCTAGTTTTCTTTCAGTCACCTCAAATGAATTCCCTCTTCTGTGAGTGAAATACCAGGGATTTCAACTATCAGCCATTCCTAAAAATGACCAACCTTTCTTTTCCTGGTTATTTCTCCTCCCACCACCCCAAAACTTTATCTATTAGGTAATCAAGCCATCTTTCTAAAATACTAATCTAATCACACTATTCCTTTAAATCTTTCAGTGGCTCATTATTACTCCTGGAACAAGGATCAAAGTCCTCAAAAAGGCCTATGAAACTCTGCATAATCTGGCCCCCACCTGCCTCTTCCATCACATCACAGGCCACTCTGCCCTGGTTATAGGTACTTGAGCAGCACTGATTTGCCTCCACTTATCCAAATGCACAGTGGCCCCTCCAGCCACAGTGACTTTGCACATGCTGTTTCTGCTACCCAAGAGGCTCCCCAACCCTTTCTTATATAGTTAACTTC